CAAGTGCTGGGATTGCAGGCGTGCACCACCATGCCTGGTCCCGGGGCTGGCGCAGCATGTGAGTCCAGGGATTGAACTCGGGACCTTGTGCTTGCCGGGTGGGTGCTCGTGCCTCTGAGCTATCTCCCCAGCCCGGAAGCTAGATTCCTAACAGCCCAGCCAGGTGTCAATGGGCACAGGGACAAACGGTGGTGCAGTCATACAGCGGAATATTACTAATGACCTACTGATAATACACAGGATGTGGTTGAAGCTCAAACATATGCTGCCGAGTGGACAAAGCCAGGTTCAGAGGCTCACATATCCTATGGTTTTACTCATAAGAATTTCCAAATAGAATGATTTGTTCTAATGGTGTTTGTAAATAGGATCACAAGTCCGCATCTTGTACAGCAATTAACCACTAAGAAGAATATATGCAGTGTAATATTTGTTGAAACTGTACTTCCGATTTGATTTGAAACTGTCTCATTGCTATCTGCTTATCAATAAAATTTTGAAAAAAAAAAAAAAGAATTTCCAGAGGAAACAAAGCCAATCTGCATGAAAGAAATCAGAGTAACGTTTGCCCTTGGATCAAAGTGGTGCTGAAAATATCCCCCCTGTTGCTATGGGAGTGGGCTGCAGCACCTGCCAGGACTCCCCAGATGGCACTGTGAAGACCTCCAGGTGTCACTACGTGTGGGTTGTGCCTTCGTAAAAAGGGAAGTAAGAGAAAAGATGAGAATTTGGAGGCTAGATTCACACAGCTGGACACTGACATAGGAAGAACTCCACAAAGAAACAAGTTAAAAGCAGAAAAAAAGGGACTGGGGAGATGGCTCAGCAGCGTAAGTGCCTGCTTGGCATCAGTGCAATCCCCCGTACCAAAAAAGGGGGGCACACTATCAAAAATATATCTATAGATAGATACATAGGTATGTAGAGATATATAGATATGCTTCAGGCTTGAGAACATGTTTCTCTGGATTGCCGAGGTCTCCTGGGCCCCAGCTCAGTAATTGACGAAGGACCTGCGTCAGTACTCACCAACGTGGAATTTTGCACTAGCACAGGGGACTCAGTTTCCCTGGCTATAAAGCATTGCGTCCTCCCTCCCATCACACCCAGCAAGTGAGTAACTTCAGTTAGTTCAAAACAGCCCTGAGACGCTTTCTCCTGGGTCCTGGCCCTGGGTCCACGCAGAGGCTCCGCCTGCCCAGGCAGCGCTCTGGGACTCGGTGATCCTGAGCCCTTTTCCTGTGCTTGCCCCCATTTCCCATGCAGGTGCAGGTGCGAGGACACGCACATGTGCACACACATGCACACGTACACACGTGTACCTACACATATGCGTGCAAGCACACACAGGCAGGCTGCCTCAGAGATGGGCACCTGGAAGTGGAACCCGGTAGTTAAAGAATGTACTCCTTCAACTTCATAGGTCCCTCTCATTCGCATTTGAAAACGCTCAGCAATTTATATTTCCACTCGGAACACATGGTTACACCCGCTTCTCCGCACCCTCAGCAACATGGTAGGAATAATTCTTTAACAATGTTTGTCAGCTTAGGCCAAACATGGTTGCACATACCTGTACTCCCAGCACTCAGAAGGCTGAGGCAGGAGGATTACCGCATGTTCAAGGCCAGCTTGAACTACATAGTGAAACACCCTGTCTCAAAAAGACGAAAAGAAAATTGTCAATTTAATGAATAAAAAAAAAACACCCGCAATTTGTTTTGCTTTATAGTTTGGGTCTAGTTGTCCCCCCAAAGTCTCATGCAGTCATGGGGCAGCTTCTAGAGTTTGTGATTAATTCATGATCCAGTGCTGGGATTATGGGTGTGAGTGCTGCTGGGATTATGGGTGTGAGCACTGCTGGGATTATGGGTGTGAGTACTTCACCCAGCCTGGGGCAGACAGCCTGAATGAGACATAAGGGAGCAGACTTTCGCTCTGCCGCCACCGCTGCTGCTGCTCCTCCCATCTGCTCTTGCTCTTTGCTGCTGCCATGGACGGCTGCTCTCTGCTATGTGCCGCTCTGCCTTGGAGCCAGCTGAGAATGGACCGAAACCTCCACTGACTGTGAGCTAAATAAACCTTTCCTTCCTTCACTTTGGGTGTCGAGTATTTTGTTCCAGCAAGGAGAGAAGAGTAACTGAGACACTTTGCCTTGCAAATGTCTGTGGAATACAGAGGTACCATGTTCTTTTAAGCACCTCTGAGAATATTTATGCCAATTACTTGAAGTCCCTCATCCAATCTAAATTAATGACATTAATCCACAGAATCCACGGCTTCTGTGGATTTGTGTTCTTCACCCTCTGCGAACTTTCCTCTAATTTTTTTTTTATTTGTTTAATGTATTTAGCACAGGGTCTACAGATAGGACTGGTAATGATCCTCCTGTTTTCAGGCTCCCAAGTGCTAGGATTACAGGCATGTGCCCACTGCACCCAGTCTCAGTAGCTGTCTCAGCACGCCCCGGGGGCAGGGCCGGCATGGCACGCTGGGGATCAAACCTGGGTCCCTGAGCCTGCCTAAGCAGGTACCTTAGTCCACTGAGCTATCTGGCCAGCCCTTTCCTCCAGTTCTTGATTGCAAGGAGTGCTCCAGCGTGTAAGCAGCAGGGAACCCTGCTCTCGGGCTGCAGCCCTCTGCTCCTGTACTCTCGTTCTGACTTTCCTGATCTTATTTCTAACCTCAAAAGCTTAATTTGCTGCTGGTCACTTTTCTGGTTTGCCTTGGATTTACAATACTCTAAAATTTCTTTAGGAAGGCTGCGGCTGGGGACCCCGGGGACTCTCTGTGCCCCTGCAGGTCCAACATTAAAACCCAGGACAGGGGGACCCCATGCACCCACCTTTTCCTGATGGCTGGCTTTCTCCTACTCTGCAGGGGTCCCAGGAGCCGGAGGTGGCAGAGAAACAGGCACCACTGTGAAGGCTGTGGCCACCTTGGGCCTCTGCCCGGGTCGGGAGGGAACTGGCAGGGACAGGCACCCAGGTACTGGGGGAGGCGACAGTTTGGCCTGAGGGATAGGGGTGGGGAGCATCTCTGGGCACTGTCTTCTCTCCCATCCCTCCTCAGTTCCCATGGGAGGGGAAGCCGCCCCGGCTGGAGTTCCCTGGGGGCCTCTATCCTCCCCTAGTACCCAGCCTCCCCACCTCTTCTGGCTGTGCCCTGCCCAGAGGTTCAGGATGTTTCAAAAGGAGCCCAAGTTCCACCTGCCTCCTGGCCTGGCCCTTCGTGTAGAACTCCAGTCTGTTACCATCATGGGGCCCCGCAGTCCCACCTGGCTGGCAGTCTGGGCTCCCCTCCCTGCCAACTCCACCCCTTCCCTATGCAGAGGAGTCCTCACCTGCAGGGGGCGCCGAGGCCCGGAATCTATGTGAGGTGTTTGCCCTTTTCACCCCCAGGTAGCGCTTTGAGAACTCCCTGTTCCCAAGGGAGGAGCAACCACTCTGACCCAACGCAGGATGTGCAGCAGGGAGACCCAAAGGTCAGTGGTGTGCTGACCAAGGGTGCTTTGGGGGCACAGGGAGCCTTCACCTCCTGCCAGGGTAGGCAGTGGTTGGAGGAGGTGAGGTCGATGTGGGGTGCTAGCACCTCCCCGGCAACGCCAGTCTGTGTGCCCCCCCGGGCCCTTAGCAGGGTGTCCACCCCAAGTGGTGAGGGCTGAAGTTCAGGGAAGAGAGCTGAGCTCTGCAGCAGATAAGGACAGCTCGGAGCACAGCCCCACCACACCCAGCTTGCTGTCCCATCTGTTGCGGGGTTCAGACACAGCTGGATTAGGCCAGGCAGCTCTGGGTCGAGGTCAGCGGGCCTACTCTCATGACACTCCCCGCAGTCACCAGGCCACCACCAGCAAGGCCACCAGCCAAAGGTGGGTCTCAGCTTCCTATCTAGGAAAACTCAAAGCAAACCCAGTGGGGTGGTGCACACTTGTAATACCAGCACTCTGGGAGGCAGAGGCAGGAAGATCCTGAGTCTGAACCCAGCCTGGGTAGTTTCGCAACTGAGGCCCTGCCTCAAAATAAATTTTGTTTTCAAATCAAGAGGAGCTGAGAATATAGTTCGTTGCAAAGGCCCTGGGTTCAATCCCCTGTAGCACAAAAAAAGAAAA